TTTATTACACTAATTATATTTTAGGGTTTTGCATTTAAATGTTGGTTGGGAATTTCAAATATTTCTAAAGCTTTTACTATGTTTCTTAGGTTCATAACCAAGACCAGTGTTATTGTAAAACGCCCTTTGGTTTCCTAACAAAAGATTCAAGTTGTCTGTCCCTTTAGTGAATTTATCAAGTGTATTTTGAAGATCATCAATTTTATTTTTCAAAATGTCACATTGATCACAATTGATAGATTCATCTAAAATCTTATGAGATAAGGAACAATTTTGAATTAGATCATATTGTCTCTCTCTAAGATTTCCTATTTCTTCCAACAGGTTTTTAATTTTCAATTCAAGGGAAGAGATAATGTCTTTGAAGGTAGAGATAATTTTTTAAAAACTACTCGTTTATTTTGTTAGCTTATTACAAAGGAAAGATAAATATTAATAGGAAAAGTTAGAGGTTACCTCATTATCTTGATGATTTTTCGTGAGACAGAGGTTTTCTTCTTCTTTAGCTGAAGATTCCATATCATCATTATCCCAAGATATGTATGCTTTCTTTTTGGATTTCTTGAACTTTCTTTGATTTCATTTTCTTTTCGGGTTTTGTGAGCAGTTTGGTCTTATATGCCCTTTCTCTCCGCATTGATGACATGTAAGAATGGATGATGGACTTTATTCTCCTTGCTACTGGAGTCTTGAAGTTTGTTTTTCATGCCTTAGGAACTCCTTGAATTTTTGAAACATGAGCATCATGAATTTTTAATATCACTTCGATAATCTTCATCTTTTGGTTCCATATCTTCAATGTTAGTAGCTTTAAGTACAATACTTTTCTTATTGTTTTTGTCATCTTCTTCGTCATCAACAAGTCTTTTATCTCCATATCTTGTTCATGCAATTTTCCAAAGAGAGTGTGTGTGTCCATGGTTGCTAAATTATTATATTCATATATCATAATGAATTTAGGTTGCCAACTATGGTTTAGCCATCTAAGAATCTTTATAACAAATTCTTCATTTGAAAATATTTTTCTCAGAGTTCTCATTTGACTCACGATATGGGTAATACTCTCTTCAAGTTTCATTATAAATAGTTCATACTTATGGGTCAGTGTGCCAACCTTGCCCTCTTCACCTCAGTAGTACCTTCATGGGTGATTTAGAGGATGTTCAACATTTCTTTTGCAGTTTCACACTGAGAAACTTGAAAAAACTCATCAAGACAGAGAGCGGTAGTGATGACAACTTTTACTTTCAAACTACATTGCACATTTTCTTTATCATCTTTTCTCCACTTCTTTTCAAGTGTATTTTATACAACATTGTTAACTATGTGTGTAGGAACAAATGAATCTTCATTCGTAGACTTTCAAATACCACGATCCATCTCTCCTATGAAAACTCCAGTTTCTCTTTCCATAAACTGTACCTTTCTCCATTGAAGGATGAAAGTTTGTTTAATGAATAGATCAAAGATAATTTTCATCCTGAGATGATTAGTCTTTAACAGGAGTTAGACTCTAATGCCACTTGTTGGACAAATGACTTCAAGCACAAGAGCGCAGGAGGGGGGGGGGGGGGGGGAATCATGGTATTCAAAATACAGAAATACTAAGCAAACTAAAAAATGATAAATAAAATTAAGTAGGCATCTACGCCAATCCTTCCACACCGCAACAACTAATGCTCCTCAACCTGGATATCTGTACCATCAGTATAACGAGCCACACAAACAAACAAAAAAGGTGAGAAATATGTTCATAATGTTAATGGTGTATATAAATAGTTAGGATAGTTCAAAAATAATATTCAACAACCACATAAAATAGTTTACAAACATAGAACAATCGTAGATGTAACTTTATGTAATGCAATGTGACTAATCACTACTACTTCAATATGCAAGTGGTACCAAGTTTTTGGATCTCAGAGTTATGTTATTCATTAATCCACACCTCTGGTTCCTCATATGAACCAACGATTTCACAAATACGTATGAGGCATGTCATTGGTTCCTTATCTGAACCAACGATTTCACCAATGAATCTGAGACCACCAATAAACATGATACATGAAATATAACTAACAACACCAATATACTAATCAACAATGGTCCATTCTCTGAACCGACAACTACACCAATACCGGGCTACCACTGTAGTTCCTCATCTGAACTACTCATCAATAATATATACATGTAATTACAGCTCAACACATGTATATGGTTATATATTAATTCAACATTACTCACTAACAAGGGAAAATATTAACATATGTGCTCAACAACAATCATCAACAAAGTAAACATATTATTACTCAAATATACACACCAAAAGGGTAAAAAAAACTATTATACATGATCAACATTACTCAATAACCGAGTAAATATATTATTACTCAAATATGCTCACCAACAGGGTAACATAAATATTCTACAACTCTCACATTCAACATGGTTAACTCATAACACATCAGAGGACTTAATACACCACATTATTATTTACCTCAAACTCTAACATTGGCAAAAGGACTCTAGACTCATCAAAAGGCAATGAACAATCATCAAAATTATAAAACTACTTAAAAATCACCAAATTGGACTGTGAAACTCGAAATTGCCGACCTACGTTGGCCGCCTGTCGCTGCGTCACAACTCTATCCTTATGTGACCGCACACCACATTGTTGCGACTTCTGCCACGCACTCCGCTGCTGGCTGCAGCCCTGTAGCCGCATCGCGACACCATCCTGCCATTGCCAAACAAGCACAACTTTGGAGCTAATTGTAGCCCTAATTTTCCTTTTTTTCTTTTCGAATTTGGACTTTTTACAACTTTTTGATTTTTTGACTATTACGATATTTTCCCTATTGAACAGATATGCAACTCACAAGCACAACCATACACAAGCATGACACAATTATCAACAGGGTAATCAAATCAGATTACAAATCAAAATGAGAATTTATATCATATTACTCAAGAATAAAATAAAACATTTATTAGTCGATCACCTCACATGATTTTTCTCAAACCTTCTTTGGCCACAAACATCAAATACATATAAAGGAAAAGGGAGAAGGCATAAGGGTAAGGAATCCTCATCATCCCTCTCTTTAGTCACACATATATGAATAATACCCCTTATCTCAAAAGTGCAGCAAAAATCAAGGCTTGACTATAGAGTATTCTCTTCCAAGAGCTCTCGTAGGAGTTTTTCCTCTTTCCACTCTCTGCCTCTTTTCTCCAATTTTTCACGTTCTGACAATTTTCTTTCCTCATTCTTCTCTATTTAAATTAACCTAATATTATATATATATATATATATATATATATATATATATATATATATATATATATATATATATATATATATATATATATATATATATATATATATATATATATATATATATATATATATATATATATATATATATATATATATATATATATATATATACGCGCAAAAAGGCCTAAAAAACCAAGACTCAATCCGATATAGATCCACTCAAAAGGATCCAACATATAAAAGCTATTACATACGATATTCAAGGTATCAAATTTCGATCTCCACTTTTACCACACTCATCTTGAATCTTAAAATGACTTGGGCGTTAAAGTGTTAATTTTTCAGATCCATTTCGCATTGTCGTTTTTGAGATCAACGTTACTAGTTCAAGATCATTCATCGTCGATATACAAATTTTGTTTCTAGAACAATAAATTTTCTCATTGATTCGATCTTAAAAATTTTTTTTTCCCTAATTTAACAAATAAAAGTTTGAAAAACATACTTAAAAATTTATATTATTGTTCAAATAAATTTTTATAGGAATAGAAGGTTAAAGTAATGTGGTAATAAAAAAAAATCCAATAATACCTATTTAATCATTCATTCCTAAAAGAGTAATCTAAATAAATATTTATAGAAATAAAAAGTTAAGGTAATTTAGTCAAAAAGAAATCCAATGATACCTATTTTATTATTCATAAAAAACAATTATTATATAAACAAATAATTCTAAAAAAAATATTTATTATTTACTAAATTTAAAACTATAGATAATATATTAATAAATTAATTTTGTTAAACTAATTCAATTGATAATTGTGGAAAAAAATAATCCGATTTCAGTCATTTTTAGGATTTGGATCGTATGTAATTTTAAATTTTAAAGACACAAGTTCATTGTACTTATTCTAATGTTTCCTCCAATCAAATCTAATAAATAATTATTTTTGTTTGAATGATACATAGTAGTAGCAACTTAGTTATTTGCTTAAACAAAATGACAAACACAATAGAGTTCTTTGAGTTGAATACAGGAGCCAAGATCCCATCAATTGGGGTAGGCACTTTTCAGATTGAACCTGATTTTATAGCAAAATCTCTCACAACTGCTATTAAGGTACATATTTTTAGTTTCATTTTTGAGTTTAGTAAATTTCCATTCCACTTTTAAGTGATTTTTGTGATTATATTTTAAATTTAACAACATTTAGAACTTATTTGAAGTCTCTTTTGAAAATTCAGGTTGGATATAGGCATATTGATTGCGCATCCATGTATGAAAATCAAGCAGAGGTAATGATGTTAATGATTATTGATCTACTTTATTTCACTTTTATTTTTTTTTATTTATCAAAATGATAATAATAATTAAAAATTTATATGCAAAAATTACTTATTCGAACTTAGTGTATAGTTTTAATCTATCAATATTAATATTTGAAACATGAACACAACTTTTTTCTCATGTATCGAGTGAGAGTCCTCCTTTTTTCTAAATTTAATGTGTCTTTTCTCAGCCTCTTCTTTGCGGCAATTAGGGTTTTGTGGGTACTTTCTCCCGCTCTTTATGGATTCTTTTCCTCTAGATCCTTTTTGTTTCTTTCACAATCTTTGATTGGTATTTTCTCTCTTTTTTGTTTGAAGTCTTTTACCTCCTAAGGTTTTTTCCCCTTTGTTCTTAGATCTGTTGTTTTTGGTTCTCGTTTTTGTGTTCATGGAGAAGTGGAAACATGTTTCGTTATGTAAAGAGGAAGAGGAAGGGATTACAATGGCAAGTGAAGAAGTTTGTGATGGGGAAATTTTTCAACGAACTTTAGCGGGGAAGTTGTGGACTGACAACCATTTCAACTCCAGAGCTTTTATGAGTACGGCGATTAATGCTTGGAAACTCAAAAATCCAGTTGAATTGCAGGAACTTAGTAAAAATGTTTTCCTTTTTAGATTTACAACAAAGAGGGATCTGGAAAATGTTCTCAGAAATGGTCCACGAAGCTTTGATAGAAATCTTCTTGTCTCAGAAAGGATTTCCGGGGGGGGGGGGGGGCAACCATCATATCTCAACATGCACTATGGAGTATTCTGGGTCAGAATTTATGAACTACCCCTTATGTTACACTCGGAGGCTATGGCAAAGAAGCTGGGTGGAATCCTTAGAAAGTTTGAAGAGGTAGATCACAAAGAAGTCCATAGGAATAGGCGGTTCCTCAGGATTAAGGTCACAATGGATCTGAAGAAACTGTTGAAAGGAGGAATAATTGTCCATTTCAAAGAGAAGAATCTGAGAGTTCATTTCAAATACAAACGTCTTCTAAGTTTATGCTTTGTTTGTGGAAGAATTGGCCACCAACTCAAGGACTGTGAAGGTTTAGGGAAAATAGGTGAGGAAAGTTTTGAAGATATTGACGAACAAGAGTTGTCCTTTGGTCTTTGGCTTCGTGCATCTCCCTTGCCAAAAGTGACGGAAGAACAAAAAAAAAGAGAATCTAGTTCGGGCAATTGCAGCAATAACCTTTTTAACAACTCTTCGAGCTACAAAAAATGCGATAATAGAAGGGAAGGGAAGGATGGAGAAGAGGTGGAAGTTGAACAACAAGCTGGAAATACTTTTTCTGAGGAGGTGAATGTGGAAGCTAGTCCCACCAAACAACCTGGGGATTGCCTCGTAATTGAAGTAGTTGCTGAGTCCTTGGGGGCCATTGACATTTCCAACATGAGGAATGAGAAAACTTCAACTATCAAAGGGAAAACCACCAAGAGGAAGAAGTGGACTAGGCAGAAGAGGACAATGAAAGGGTATGATAATTGTACTAAAAACTTAGAAGTTGAGACCGGGAAGAGACAATTGGTGGAAGTGATGGTTACTGAAGGTGAAATTGAAGAATGTGAAAGCATTGACAAAAAGAGGAAGAACTTGATTTAAGGAGTCGAGAATTCCTTTGTACCAGAGGTGGTATTGGAGTCCCAACACCGCCTACACCAATGAATATCCTCAGTTGGAGCTGCAGGGGGCCGGGGAGTCCTTATGCAGTTCGATCCTTGTTAAGTCTCCTCCGGCTGAAAAACCCTAATATGGTTTTTCTAATGGAAACTCACCTAAAGCAAGATGAAGTTAGTAGGATTAGAATGAAGTCTGTTTTTAATGTTGGTCATGTTGTAAATTGCGTTGGGGAAGGCAAAAGGAGGGCAAGGGGTCTGGTTTTGTGGTGGAAAGATGTTTTCCAAGCCTTCTTTCCTTTTCTATGATCAATATTAGTGGGTCAATTGCTGACAACGCAAGAGGTGGGTGTGGTTCTTTAATGGGATCTATGGGTATTCATAGGAAGGGAATAAAAGGAAAACTTGGAGCATGATTAAGGAATTGTGCAGTCAGAGAGTGCTAATGTGATTTGTTCTAGAGACTTTAATGACATTGTTGCAGAAAATGAGAAATTTGGGGGTATATTTAGATTGTCTTCCTAATTGGAGAGGGGTCTCCAATCCTTGGAGCTCTGTGGCCTATTAGACCATGGTTTTGATGGGTATCCTTTTACTTGGTCTAATGGAAGACAAAATGCTAAAAATATTCAATGCAGGCTTGATAGGGGAGTTGCCTCAACCAGTTTCATTCAAAGATTTGACCCAGTAAAAGTTATACATCTTTCCAGCCATGGATTTGACCATGCTGCTATTGAGATTATGCTAGAAGCGAAGGGGCAGGAAACTAGAAGGAAGCAAAAACATATTTTCCATTTTGAAGAAGTTTGGCTTCGTGACCCTAAATGTGAGGAGCTGATTGTGCGATTGTGGAATGGTGTTGAACCTCAAGGTAATTGTCGCATTCAAACAATTCAAGGGCTGGATGATCACTTCAAAAATTATAGGATTAAGGCTATGACAAAAGAGCTTATCAGATTGGAGGAAAAGTTAAAGGATACTTCTAATTGAAAAGCTAGCACCGAAGCGATAAATATTCATAAAGGCCTTGAGAACCAACAAAGTAATCTTACGAATATCGATGGGATCATTTGAAGGAAAAAGAGTATGACTGTGTGGCTTCATCATGGAGATCGAAACACCAAATTCTTCCATGGAAAAGCATAACAAAGAAAGAAAACCAACTCAATCAAGAAGCTTAAGGATGATCAGGGCAATTGGTGGAAATGAGAGGCAAAATGTGAGGTTCTTCTTGTCAAACACTTTTTAGACGTGTTTACCACTTCTCACCCAACTCATATCCAAGAAGTTTGTGAGAATGTCAAAGTTTGACTGACCCAAGATTTGGTGAATTGGTGAGATGGTGTTTCCACAGCTACTGAGGTTAAGGAGGCCCTGTTCCAAATGCATCCTCTGAAAGCCCTGGCCCGGATGGTCTGCCTGCACTTTTTTACCAAAAGTTCTGGCATATTGTAGGACCGGATGTCACCATGTTCTCTCTAGACATTATCAACAACAAAAAAATATCCCAGACCTCTGAATTCTACTTTCATCGCCCTAATCCCTAAATGCAAAAACCCATTTTCCCTTAAGGATTTCCGTCCCATCAGCTTGTGTAATGTGATAATGAAGATAATGTCTACAACCATTGCTAATAGGTTAAAGATGGTCATTCCTCAGGTTATTGATGAGGAAAAAAAATGCTTTTGTACATATAAGGTTGATTATGGATAATGCTATTATAGCACTAGAGTGCTTCCATTGGCCGAAGAAGAAAACAAAAGGGAAGAAATAGGTCATGGCTATGAAGTTGGATATGTCTAAGGCCTATGATAAACTGGAATGGGACTTCATAGTGTCCAGTTTTTTGTCCATGGGTTTTCCTAATTCATTTTTTGATCTCATCCATAGGTGCATCTCTATGATTTCCTACCAAATTCTTCTCAATAGGAAGGCCACAAAGAGTTTCACGGCTGAGAGAGGCCTTCATTAAGGGGACCCTCTCTCACCTTATGTATTTATTTTGTGTGCTAACATTTTTTCAGGGATGATCGAGGATGAAATCATCAAAGAAAGGATCCATGGAATCTAGATTTCCAAGAAAGCTCTAATTATTTCCCACTTCCTATTTGTTGATGATAGCCTTCTCTTTGTTAGGGAAAATACATTTGAGGCTGCCTGCATTGTGTCTATTCTTAACAAGTACAAAGAAGCATCGAGTTTGTTAAAATACAAGAGACTAAGAGACATGAATAAACCGTGTGTTTTTTGAAAAGCACTACGGAGACATTAATATATATAAATAGATTACAACTAATTATATGATATAGTCGATGTGGGACTATTCTATATACAAATATTCTCAACACTATATATATATATATATATATATATATATATATATATATATATATATATATATATATATATATATATATATATATATATATATATATATATATATATATATATATATATATATATATATATATATATATATATATATATATATATATATATATATATATATATATATATATATATATATATATATATATATATATATATATATATATATATATATATATATATATATATATATATATATATATATATATATATATATATATATATATATATATATATATATATATATATATATATATATATATATATATATATACACACACACACAAATATCAACACTCCCCCTCAAGCTTAAGCATATAAGTCAAATGCACCAAGCTTGTTACATATATAGTTAGTTCTGGGGGCTTCGTAAGGATTTTGTAAACACATCTGCCAATTGATCATTAGAGTTGACAAAGCTTGTGACGATGTCGCCTGACTCGATCTTCTCTTTGACAAAGTGACAGTCTATCTCAATATGTTTGGTCCTCTCATGGAAGACTGAATTTGAAGCAATGTGTAATGCAACTTGATTATCACAAATAAGTGTCATTGGTCTTGCTTCTTCAATTTGAAGTTCCTTGAGCAACTGTTTTAACCAAATAAGTTCATATGTTGCCATTGTCATGGCCTTATACTCTGCCTCGGCGCTTGATCTTGCAACTACATTTTGTTTCTTACTTTTCCAGGATATAAGGTTTCCTCCAACAAGTACACAATACCCAGAGGTGGATCGTCTATCAATGGGTGGCCCTGCCCAATCAGCATCAGAGTATCCAATTATCTGGGTATGTCTTTTATCCTCATACAAGACCTTTTCCTGGAGCGCATTTGATGTATCTCAAAATCCGGATAACAACATCCATGTGTCCCTGACAAGGGGAATTTAAGAATTGGCTTACCACACTGACTGCAAAAGAAATGTCCCGACGAGTGATTGTGAGATGATTCAACTTTCCAACTAATCTCCTATACCTTCTTGAGTCAGATAGAGGCTCCCCCTGATTGGGTAGTAGTTTAACACTTGGATCCATAGGAGTATCGGCTGGTTTAGCATTTAATAAACCTGTTTCTTCCAAAATATCCATAGCATATTTCCGTTGAGAAATCACCAAACCATCTTTAGATTGGGCTACTTCAATACCCAAGAAATAACGGAGTTTACCAAGATCTTTTGTCTGAAATTGTTTTGAGAGATGTTGTTTCAACTGGAGTATTCCCTGTTGATCACTACCAGTTATGACAATGTCATCTACATACACAATAAGATAAATTCACCCTTGGGGTGAGTGACGATAAAAAACAGAATGGTCAGCTTCACTATGGATCATACCAAACTGTTGTACTACAATGCTGAATTTGTCAAGCCAAGCTCTCGGAGATTTCTTAAGACCATAAAGAGACCTGTGTAGCCTACAAACCATATTCGATGACTCCCCCTGAGCAACAAAACTAGGTGGTTGCTCCATATATACTTCCTCTTCAAGATCGCCATGTAAGAAAGCATTTTTAATGTCAAGTTGATGAAGAGACCAATGTCGAATGGCTGCAATGGCTAGAATAAGTCTAACATATGCCATCTTGGCTACAGGCGAAAAGGTATCACCATAATCTAACCCAAAAATTTGAGTGTATCCTTTGGCTATCAAGCGAGCTTTAAATCAATCAATCTTGCCATCTGGACCAACCTTCATTGTATAAAGCCAACAATAACCTACTAAAGATTTTCCATGGGGTAGAGGAACCAGTTCCCAGGTACCACTGCTTTGAAGAGCACACATTTCATCAATCATTGCTTGCCTCCACTCAGGGTGAGATGATGCTTCACCTAGAGTTTTAGGAATAGAAACAGAAGACAAAAAAGACAAACAAGTATACTGCAAAGCCTCCACTTAGGGGTACCTAGTGGGTCAGGTTCCCTAAAATGATGGGGGATAATGACATATGGGACTTCCGGAAGAGGTGTGAGAATACTTTCCCGTAGAGGTTCCGTAGTTACTTGGTTGGATTTGAAATATGGAACAGACTCGAAGAAGGTAACATCGGCAGATACGAGGTATCGTTGTAGAGTATGTGAGTAGCAACGATAACCTTTTTGGGATCGATGATAGCCAAGAAAGACACACTTTAGTGATCAAGCTAATAGTTTATCAAGACCAGGGGAGAGATTGTGTACAAAACACGTTGACCCGAAAACTCGAGGAGGAATTGGATGGAGTGGAGAGTTTAGAAACAGGATTGAATGGGGGATTTTATTATTAAGGACAGATGAGGGCATGCGATTTATGAGGTAACATGCCGTGAGCACCGCATCTCCCCAAAAACGGAGAGGAACATTACCATGGAGAAGTAGTGTCCGAGTGGTTTCTACGAGGTGCCGATTTTTGCGTTCGGCTACCCCATTTTGTTGGGGTGTATGAGGACAAGATGTTTGGTGCAAAATACCATTGGATGACATAAATGTTTGAAATTGTTGGAATAAATATTCACGTGCATTGTCACTTCTTAGGGAACGAATAAATAAAGGTTACAAAATAAAGGTTACAAAAATAGAAAACAATTCAGACCTGTTCTTCATTAAATATAGCCATGTGCAAC